ACTCAAGGGGCCAAACTGTGGCTCGAGAGCTGCAGTTTGCCAACCACTGGTCTAGCCAAAAGCACAAGACTTTTCTGCTCCTTTATAAAGTAGATTTTATACTGTTTATTTTCCCCACATCTAGCTAGGGGTGACTCAACCTATGCTTTCGATGAAGTGCAGCCTCCATTTTGAATTAAACAATGCACCATGAATGAGCTGCCCCAGGATCATTCACTTAAAAAAAAATCCCTCCCATCTGCTTCTGCCAATGGGTCAGTTGCCATAGAAAGGGTAGCATAATTATACGGTATGGGCACAGCAAAGTGGGAGTCGGGAGACCGAGGTCATTGTCATAGGCTCTTGGAGTACCACTGTGGGCTCAGACAAGTTGCGTAATCTCTCTAAACCTTATTTTTAATTAATAGCATATTGAGGGTACTGAGTGACATGTGCTGAAGAAGATTTTCATCTCTAAAATTCTATGACATTATTAAAATGTTTATTGTATATAAACCGCTTGGTAGTTATGAATATATGAGAATATTTATTCTTGTATATTAGCTATGCAATACTTGGCATAACACATAGCCGAATCAGCCAAGAAGCTTATCTCATATTTAATTAAATAGGCTTTTAAGTTCTAGAAGGCACAAAATTCTCAATGAAAATAATTTCATTAACTATACCTTAAAAATCTGAAAAGTACACTGAGCTGACCACTCTACATCCTTTTATTAGGTTGCTTTTAATTTACTACCTGATTGGTCTGTAATTCAGCCACCGCTCCCTTTCTCCCCTCAGTCCTCCCAAGTGTGTCATGGATGGAAAGTCCATTTTCAATCTAAATCTTGTTACAGATTAATAAGTAAATAATTAATAATAATTCAGTTAGATATTTTGTTGTTAAAGAACAATTTATTGATTTGTAGAGAGAGAGGAAGGGAGAACAGAGAAACCATTATGAGAGCACAACACTGATCATTGGCTGCCCCCTGTATGTCTCAACCAGGGATCGAACCTACAACTTGAGCATGTGCCCTACTGGGTATCGAACCAGCAACCTTTTGGTGCACGGGATAATATCCAACCAACTGAGCCACACTGGCCATGGTATGGGTATTAGATTTTGAATGCTAGGTGACATCCTAGTAACAGCATGGTTTTAAGAGTCAGTGAGACCTGGATTTGAATCCCAGCACTTTACTGTGGACAAGAGAGAAGATTCATATTAGGAAGGATAATGCCTATTTCTTGAGCTTCCCTCTATTCAGATGGGAACACTTATGGAATGTGTAGCACAAAACTCTCGGGAAGCAAGCATTCAGTAAGAGGGCCGCGTCCCACACCTGTTTCCCTGCATGCTGCTAGGTCTGTGGCAGGTGCTAAATTAAGGAGGAAACCCACTAACCTCTTTTTATAAAGTAAAAGGTAAAACCAATGTTCCCTTTCACCCTAATTCTATTCCCAGAAGTAACTAGGAAGGACATCATGCTAGAGTTTAGATAGAAGCATGCCACAGTTAAAGTTCTGCCAGAAATTAGTGGATAAAATTTGTTAAAAGCAACATTTACTTTCACTACTCAGCATCTTCCAGGCACAGCTGTGCTGTCCCATCTCTGTCCATTTGCATGTCCTTGTCCTTCCCCTCCTCTCCTCATAAGCAACCACATGAAGCTCTTCTGTGCACACTTTCTGATCACTCTGCTGTTCTCATGGTCTGACTGTCAGACCCTTTCCTCTCATCCTCCCTTCATATTGTGCCGTGTCCAGGCGGGTCTTACCTTTCCTGTAAGACTGCAAGTGCCTTAGAAACAGGGTCTTTGTTGTCTGAAACTTGACAACAATGTATACTATCTATCATTGTTCCTCCCACACATATAGCTGCTATTTAATAAACGTAATTTAAAATTACGCAAAATATTTGAAAACATCAGAAAATAACTAGTGAGATTTTTATTTCAAAGTTGGAAAATTCCAAGTCACATTTCTAAAAAAAAGGCATTGTTCATTTGGAAAAACGCCCTATTCATCTTGAGCCATATACAGTTTTTGATAGAGGAGTCCATATGCGGGAGAAGAAGGAAGGAGGAAACTGCTATAAAATGCACTCCCCAGACTAGGTAGCAGGCCCCTCCCCCAAACCCCATCTCTCATCGACTCACAAGAATGGGAAGAAAGAGGAAACCACTGCCTGTGCTTTTTTTTGTCAATAAACACCAACTAAAATTTCACAAAGCAAAAGCTTCTTAATGAAGCAAACCTGACAGCAGGCAGCTGAGCACGTAATCATGCCCTTAGTGAGGCAGGTACTTGGGGCGGCAGAGGGGGCTGTGAGCATGAGGTGCACACATACCCCCCACACGCCACCACTCCCTTTCTCCCCTCAGTCCTCCTGCAGCCTGTGCCAAGTGTGTCATGGGTGGAAAAGGCCATTTTCAATCTAAATCTTGTTACAGATTAATAAGCAAACATTTTCTTGCTTATTATGCAATTTATCACGATGAAAATTACATTGAACTCCTCAAGGCTAAATGCTGATGCATTCATTTATTCCGAGCGGTGTATAGAGTCATACTAATCTTTGTGACAGAAAAGGATATAATAGCAATGTGTAAATTACTTACCGGAAAACTACAGTATTTGTGTCTGTAGACATACTACATGGAGATAAGACATAAGTGTGTCTTTATGTTTGCTGATAAAAGTTTCATGTAAATTTATTCAAAAGTAAAATATTAAATACAAAAACCTAAAATAAAAACCTACCCCTTCTCTTCCTAGGCAATAAAACAAGGGTGGATACTGTTGAAATGGTATTTAGTTCAGATTTGAAAACAATCGAAAATAGTAAGTCAAAGTAAAATTTTAGAGAATCAGAAAGTGTTAAAGGCTTCCTAGGTCACCCAGGGAGCTGTGGTCACAACAGCCAGCACGGGGCTCTATGGAGGGTGTACATGGCACCCACAGTTGGGGCAGGGGGAGGGGAGTGGTGGTGGGGCCAAAAGCTGGAAACACATTCTGGGGCTTTGCTCAAAGGCCAGCTGCCACAAACTCAAGGGCTCATATTTCCTTCTAATCCTTAAAGTCAGTTGAGAACCTTCCAACCTTCAGTATCCATAAACCATGCTGGCTCCCACTGTGTCAAACTGGTCATTCTAGAAATGGGCAGGACCTGATTTGCTGAACAGGATAATGACCCTGCACTACTGCCATGCAGGTAGCAATCATTTCATCTTTTAGCTAGTACTCTTCTAAGCACTTTGCAAATATAAACTCATTTCATAGTGCGTACTTTAGTTAGCCCCAAATATAGTTGGAATTGAGATAAGAGATGAAGTAATTTGCTGAAGAGCATACAGCCAAGGAGGCACCCAGGTGAAGTTGGGGAGCGTGGAGAGATATGAGGTGACAGGGAGGACAGCTGCCTATGTTTGAAATAAATACCTGCCTCCTACCAATCAACCTTGGGATTTGGGGCTGGGCATGGCCGTTCTATAGGAAAAAGTCAAGACTTCAAGTCTAGATTTCACTTGTTTGTCTGGTCCCCACACTCTGAGTCCAGAGCAGGTGTTACAAGACTACAGTCCAAAGCATGCTGGAACAGAAGAGAACTTGGGGTATGAGAAAGGCAACCAAGAATGAAAGGGCAGAGAACTCGAGGTTTTTGTTAAAGATTAACCATGATAAGAATGAAATTCCAATCACTGAGAAAATCAAAGAGGTGATAACATTTACATTAAGGAGGACATCATGGGACAGCTCCAGAATTCCTACCACTGGGCATTCACACTCACAAGCAGAAAAAAGGTGTTGGTGAGGATGCAGGGGAAATGGATCTCTTGTGCATAGCTGGTAGGAATGTAAAACGGTGCAGCCACTGGGGGAAATAGTGGCTCCTCGATAATAACTTAAACATAGAATTACCATATGACTCAACAATTCCACTGAAAATTCAAACCAATACCTGTGCATGAATGTTCATAGCATCATTGTTCACAATAGCCAAAAGGTAGAAACAACCCAAATGTCCAACTACAGATAAGTGGATAGAAACAACTATAGAAAGGAAGTATCCAACTATAGAAAGGAAGTTATTAATACATACTACAACATGAATGAACGTTGGAAAGATGCTACATGAAAAAAGCCAGACATAAAAGGCCACATATTGCATAATTCCACTTAAATGAAAATTTCAGAATAGGCATATTCATAGATAGAAAACATCAGTGGCTGCCAGGGACTGGGTGAGGGTGGGAGTGGGGAAAATTGGGAGTGGTTGCTTAATGGATATGGAGTTTCCATTTGGAGCAATTACTACAGGAGCTTGATAGCAGTGATGGTTGCATAACCTTGTGAATGCACTTAATGTCACAGAATTATTGCTTTAAGATGACTATAGTGGCATGATGTTATGAGTATTATATCACCAAAAAAAGGGTGGGGCTTTCTCCAGGAATCAGGAGGCTGAATTCTCAAGTCAACACTAATCTTTCGCACCCACACCCCAACCCCACTCCTAGCCATTCCTGACCAAGTGTTTCCATTCGGTTCATTTTAGCATGTCCCTCAGCTCATCTTCCTACTCCATTACTGCCATCATTGCTCCCAGATTATTTGCAACCTCCTATGAACTGGTCTTTTACTGTGTGCAAGTAAAACATCAATAAAAGGGATTTAAAAATCAAAATGAGTACAAAGAAATAATGCCCCAAACTATTTGGTCACACATTCTATTAGTCAAGCAATTTGGGAAATGTAATTTTCCTTATCAGTGATGTTCAAGCTATTATTAGCTAACAATCACAATAAACCATTTTAAAACTGTTACTGACTGTTCATGGGCTCAATGCTAACTCCCAATGGTGTTAAAATTACAGGAACAAACTTCTCTTTCATTGTCCACATCCAAAATTTCATATATTGAGACACTTGTTAATTTTTCTATTAAAAACACACAATTTATAAAGGGTAATTGCTACAGAAACAAATCACACTAACTGGAGCTGAGCACGTACTTGGCGAGCTGCTTCTCGGCGTCGGCGCAGAGTTCCAGCAGCCCCATGAGGACCGCCGACACGTCCATGTAAGGCTCCCACACGGTGAACCCGCGTCCGATCAGGTCGATGGCTGTTCTCCGGATGGTGCTGTGCGGAGGGAGCTTGGGGCTCGGAGGCTGGAGCAGAAGGAACGTCAGCGCCTTGCCTAAAGTTACAAAATAAAAGGCAGAGCAATAATGTCATTTTACTTTTGTGAGGTTTTCTTTCAAGCATATTTTCAAAATGTAAATCACTTTGGATTTCTTTCTTTCTTTTTTAACTGAAAAAGGGTTTTGAGCAGAAAGATAGATTATGAGAGATCTTGAGTTTACAGTACGGGACTGAGCATTATTTAGGTGACAATACCTTATACCATATTCTGAAGTGTTTTAATTCCATAAAAATTACATAAGTATACACAACTTCAAAACTTACCAGTGATTCTAAATATTCAATGTTTCTCCCAACTAAGCATTCTGCAAGATGCAGATGGCTTCAAATGATGGAATATGAAGTTTCTTCACCTTCCTTCTGCATCTAACAGAGTTTATGTGTCAAACACTTCCCACCGTGACACATCTCATTACGCACAGTGTTCACCCACAAGGGGTGAGGGTTGGAGAAGAAAGGACATGTAGCGTGAAAAAGTGCCCCCTCCTAAGTGTGTACCCACTCCGCTTCCTGGTGTTATTGAGTATGAAGGTATCAGGTGTGCAAGAAATTCTTCAGGTAGTTGGTTAAATTAAATGCAGCTTGCCCAGCCAGTGTGGCTCAGTGGATGAGCACTGACCTATGAACCAGGAGGTCATGGTTCGATTCCCAGTCAGGGCACATGCCCGGGTTGCGGGCTCAATCCCCAGTAGGTGTGCAGGAGGCAGCTGATCAACAATTCTCTCTCATTATTGATGTTTCTAGCTCTCTCCCTCTCCATTCCTCTCTGGAATCAATAAAAACATTTAAAACACACACACACACACACACACACACACACACACAAATACAACTCATATGATGTTTAAATGATCTAGATTTTAATTAGCATGCTCTGCTTTCTGGTGAAGATAATGCTGACAGTTTGTACACATGCGCCCAGGGGCAATTAAACTGCAGAAGCCCATCTCCTTCAAAAGGCATTCTGACACTTAAAAAAGAAAAGCAGGAGAGACTATAAAGAGCAAACTGCAATTTAGAAGAGTTTTTTTTGTGTGTGTTTGTTCTTTGAGAGAAAGAGACAAAAACAGTTTATAAACCATAGAATAGTAGACTGGATAGGGGAGCACCGGCTTCAGTTTAAGACAGAGGATTAACCACAGTTTCATAACTTCTTAGGGGGCAGGCTTGGGAGGGACTCAGTGAGCATCCATTTCCCTGCCTGTAAAATGGGGATAACAATAGTTAACTCTCGGGAAGCATCTGAGTGTGAAATGAATGTCGCAGTAAGTGGCAGTCTGGGCTTACTTAGTATGAAAAACATGTTGAACTAGCTTGTCTTCAAAAGTAGGAACGTGGCATATAAACTTCCATGCACTCAACAATGTCAAACACTTACGTGATGACCGACTGTTGAGTGAGAATGGCTGAAAAGGAAGCGGAGAGAGGGAAAGGGCATGGCAGAGCCAGGACAAGCCTCTGTGGCTGCAGTCGGTACATTAGCGGATCTGAGTTTCTTCTCGGGCACAGACCCTTCAAGAATCTGTTGAAAGCCATTGGTCCTTTCCCCAGGCAACTACACACATATACTTATCTACCAAATTCTGCAGAAAATATCTCAGGAGGCCATGGCCCTTGTGTTGACACTGCCTGCAGTAAACAAAAGAGGTACCTATATAGGGAAACCATCTCCCAGGCCCTACTTCATTCATGCGTGCATTTGTAACGTTTACTCTCACACTTAGCCATGTAAACGGATGGAAAGCTTCAAGTGTTACAGATCACAAGAATGTCACCCTTTAAAAGAGTGATCCATTGTTCTCCATGGTCTGCCAGCACGTGTGTGCCCTGAGCCACAGGATGGTTTTAAACGTAAGCATTTCTGCGCACTTCCCTTTTCCTCAGCAGCTGCCTTGAGGGTAGGAGTGTGTTGCATATAACTTTGTGTCTCCCAAAGCACCAAGCACAGAGCTTCGCACATATTATGGACCTAAACGGGAAAATGGGTCTGCCTTTGCGGCATGTACATTTCTAATGCAGCTCTCTGCCCCGGCGTTCAGAATAATACTTCAAAATGACCACAAGTCTGCCACTGTCTACAAGTCTTTTTTACTAGGGGCTGCAGAGAAACCTCCCCGCTGCTCCCTGCAGACGCCCCGAAACACCGCGGCAATGGCTTCCAATCTAAGGGCTAGGGCTCCCTGGAGGTGTATCCTGGGGAAGCGATATTGCAAAGGGGAAGTGAAGTTCCCTGAGTACCGTGTTTTATAGCATCTCAATCATCATTTTCCTTAACTGCCCTCTCCCCGCTCTGTACTCGTGACAGGGGAGAGCACTCTGGCGATAGAGGGAGCCGGCTGGTTTTTCGGTGGTGGGAACTCTGGAGGCAGCTTCCTCACCACTTAGACAATTTCTTTTCCGGGGAGCAATAATAAACAATAAGTGGCCGATTTCTTGCTATTTCCCACCATTTTCCTGACAAAGTGGGAAGCCCAGCCTAGGGGACGTGATCACTTGCCTCGATGAGATGACAGAGAAGGGAAAACAGGAAGGGTTCTCTGACAGACCCCTGGCCCTGTGTGGCCACAGCAAAGTGTGACCATCACCACCTCCTTTACCCTCAGAGTGATGCCCAGCCCTGCAGGAAACACAGGCTCCCTGTGGCCCATCGCCCCTCCCTCTAAATCACTTCCCTGCAAACAAACGTCTCCTCCAAGTCTTTGGTAACACAGAGCCCAGCTGCCCGCAGCTCTAGCAGGCCAGGGTGGGGCATTGAGAGAAGCAGAGAGAAAGACGGCCTGTTTAACACACATTTTAAATTGTCTAGGCCAGTGGTCGGCAAACCTTGGCTCTCGAGCCACATGCAGCTCTTTGGCCCCTTGAGTGTTCTAAAGCCACTTCTTCAAAACAGACTCACCCAGGCCCAAAACTGACTTTTGCGCATGGGCCATGAAGTTGCAATCGCACTGTATGTGCATGCCCGCATGTGGTATTTTGTGGAAGAGCCACACTCAAAGGGCCAAAGAGCCGCATGTGGCTCTCGAGCCGCGGTTTGCCAACCACTGTTCTAGTCCATGTATGTTTTTCTCCAATGATCTGCTCTGGAATTATAAAGACATATAAATGTCAAAATTCCGCATCTGTCTCTGACGACTTATTCCAAACAAGACATGTAAATAATAGAAGAGGAAGGGGATTTTCAAGGTAAAACTTTGGTGTCCAGCCTTGTTGATGAATAGGATCCCTACGACTTTAATGCTACCGGCATTAATGACAGCTATGTCCTGAAGGAACAATCTAGGACGCCTAAGACTTCCAATTTCCTAATCACATGTTCTTGATGCCAACCTTTAAAAAATGGTATGATAATAAAAAGGGATAGATAAATGTATGCTTTCCTCAATTCTCAAATTTAGGATTGATTTAACTTATAATGCCATGTAATGTAGTGTTCTGCAAAATGGACCAAGGTGATGAAAAAGCTAAAATTAAGATGATTGTACCTTTCCTAGTGATAGAAAAAGTATCATGGCTAAAATTTTGTGAATTTGAACTTTACCTGTCAGAATTTTCTTAAGTGTTTGGTGCCCAATAAAGTTTGTATTTTAACCTGTATAGGACAGAGTCTAATTTTGCACAGAAATACAAATTGACTTATTTTACGTAGATGCCCCACTATTCCACAGTGCCTCACTGAGAAGAATGTGGGCAACGATCCGCCATCATAACTAACTCCTTCACAAAAACTCTCCAGTGGCAGTATTAAAAAGTTCAACAAACCAGCCTGACATTTATTCGAGGCTTTCCACAATTAGGTCCAAATCTATCCATCCAAAGATTCATGTATACCTCTTTCATAGAGTATTGCAGTGTTGTACTAAGTACTGGGGAAGCAAATGGGAATAACACTCAGTTCTTCCTCTCAAAGAAATACATTTCTAGCTCAGGAGACAGGTGAGCAAACAGGTAATTTGAATATACATGAACAGTGTTATATTTATAAGCATCTCATCGTGACAGAGTTTAACAGAGGCACTAAACCCCATCTCAGGGATTTGAAAAGGCTTCCGGGGGGGGAAAGTGAGCCCTGTACCAAAACCTAATACATACGTAGGAATTAGCCACTCAGAGAGGAGGAATAGGGAAAGAAAACACTCCAGGCAGAAAGAATGGCACGCCTAAAGACCAGGCAATGAGCAAGAACACAGCAGGATCATGGATTGCACAGAGTTCAACATGGCTGGAAATGTTGCTAGGGGAGCAAAGGGGCTGCGGCAATGGCAAGGGGGAAGGAGGGCAAGGTGGATGGGATGGAGCGGTGAGACATGAGGCAGGACAGGGTCTTAGAGCCTGTTCACAAAGGCTGCATATGCCACGCAAAGAGTCTCTTTATTCTGATGACATCGGGGAACCACTGGAAAGTTTTAATCAAAAAAGGGGTTTGGCCCTAACCGGTTTGGCTCAGTGAATAGAAGCTGGCCTGCAGACTGAAGGGTCCCAGGTTCCATTCTGTTCAAGGGCAAGCACCTTGGTTATGGGCACATTCCCAGTAGGGGGTGTGCAGGAGGCAGCTGATCAATATTTCTCTCTCATCAATGTTTCTAACTCTCTATGCCTCTGCTTTCCTCTCTATAAAAAATCAATAAGATGTATATTTTTAAAAGGAGGTATGATCAGATTTTCATTTTAGAAATCAATGTTTAGGCTATCTTGTGACTAGAAAGGGGCAAGCCCTACTGCCTTTTAATTGTGATCCACTCAATCCCCGGCCAAATGGATTCATTAGAATCACAGAATTTTCTAGTTAAAAGAGCTTTGGAAAAACCTGATCTATCCCTATGCTTTGGATAAAATAACAGAGAACCATAGTAGGTAAGAGGCAATATTTTATTCATGACACTCTACCCAACTATGGATTCAAAACTATATACTTTATGATCAATCTCTTCTTCCCTCTGAATTACAAAATATATGAAGCTGCCATTATCGGTGTCTGCAAAACAGATGAAATAAATT